CTTACTAGTATGAAAAACTTGCATTATTTGAGGCTAGCAATAAAAGATAAAATATTGAATTATGTTTGCTCACAAATGTTATAGGTAAGTTAAATATTTTTTCGTTAGGTTTAATTGCATTATCTTTCAACACCAGAATACTTTGCAGTTAGGAAAAGTGACAAAACATAATATAACCAGAAAGAATTCTGAGAGTGCAACGCTTCCCCGTGATAACCAACGAAATATATATACACCAAATAATTCCTCATCCTCGTAAATGTAGGTATATATGATAAGATCCTCTTTCAACATAAAATAAGTAAAAACATTCAACGTTTTAAAAAATGCACAATAATTTATTGTATTAGCAAAAAGTAAAATATACAATTAAAAACTCTACATGTTTCGGTAGAACCAATCCCTTTTTTTCTTCCGATTTTCCGGGATTTCATTCCCCATGGTGGACATAGCGCAGACAGCCGACTGTGTAGCTTTGCGTCAGATTCACACCTATGTATAGAGGGGAATAAATTATTCTTCATTGTTTAGTCTTTCTTTGTAGTGTTTATTCTTACACATATTTCCTATCTTTTAAAAAGACAATTCTAGTGATACAGAAAAAGCGCGTATTATAAAATGAGTGATGTTTGAAATTCAAAGGATGTATAACACAAAAACCGCAACCATAGAGAAAGTGCATATCCGTTCAAACCACACATCTTTTTTACTCAAAGAACCCATATACCCCTTTACCCTACATTTAAATACTGTGTATTTCTTTACCCTAACATACATGAAACGCATATCCATTCACTTTCACATACAGAAACTACAAATACATAAATCCCATATCCGTTCACTTCATTAATAGAAACTATAGTTAAATCTCTTCGTCCCTCATAAAAATGCACCGAAACATATGTAGTCTTTTTTTCAGGGCAAGTCCCCGTTTTTAATAATTATTTATTGTTTAATGATTTTTAACGATGTATTCCTTTTAATTGTAAATAGTTGTTTTACACAAGTGTCGTTTTAAGTAATTTACAGCAACACAATTTTCAACTTAATCGTTAACTATCATTTTTGATTTGCAAAATGATGTGTCGAGATGATTCAATATGACAGTTTGAATCACAAGTGGAGAAAGATGAGTTAGTCTTGGATTAAGCTTATTTATTCTAATACCAGAGATAAAAAATGCCACCAGTGGCTCAACGGTATGTCTGAAGACTTATAACACTGAAACAGAGGGTTTCGATACCTGTGGCAGGCACAGCACAGATAGTCCATTGTGTAGCTTTGTGTTCAATAGCAAACAAGTAAACAGAAACGAAAAAACAATTAGGTGGGTAAATAGAGATCTCAGTAGTCGCTTACATGCAGATACTCCGAATGTTTGTACTGAGAGATACATTACAATGTTTAGGTGACCCATGTTCCATTTTTATAGGGAGCATATTATACTTCTCACTCTGAATCAAATCGACGTTTAATGGTTATTAATGTCTAAAGTAGGCATAAGCTTCTATTTTTTACAGTTAAACAATACTTTGTTTAGAATACGCATAAAAAACAACTCAATTGTAAAAATTCGTTATCATCCGAGAAATTGGTCTTTCATATAGAATGATGAAAGAAAACTAAAACTAAAAAGGTAATTTGGTAACTAAATATAGCGTTGTTCATATTTTCTACATATCTTGAGTTAAGAAGGGGGTATGCAAGTAATTCATTGTTGGGTACATCTGGATTCTCTTCAACATACGGCCTTGATATTAACCACGGTTTGTTGTATCTTTAAATCATTTTTTTTTGTTTTGCTTTTTTTGTCCAAAATCCTTACAACGACAACTGCAAGTTATTTGCTCTTTGTTTGAGCAAATAATTGTCAGTGTTTTTATTAGCAGTAACGCGTAAAGTTACAACAGCAAGTGCTAATTAAGACTTAGTATATGAATACAATTTAAATATTATTTAAAAACATTAATAAGAGTTGTTGATTGGTAAATGTGTGCTCAAGAATATTTACATGTTTGGGATCATTTGATATAATTTTTTGTAGTGTGGAAATTTAAAAAATCAAATAAACGTAGTAAATAATAAATCATTTGTAGCTCTTAATTTACATAAATAACTTCACTCGTACTATATCTTCTTCAGTTTGGAAAAATAAACAAAACAACTAAAACATGCTAACAAAGTTTGACGTTTTGCGCCAACTGATATGTTAATTAGATGTTGAGTACCGGATTACTGTCGGAATGTTCTATATATTTGTTTTTGGTTAATCAGGCACTCACTGCACTTTTAACAAGATGATATGTGATCCATTATCTCCAATACATATTGTTAAGTTAATTATATATGTGTGGTCGATCTTTTGAGGTATATGTGTTATTATGAATGAGCTAAACCTAGCTTCGTTAGAAAAGTATTTTTTCTTATTTTCATACATTTTATATCGGTGGAATAAAAAGATATATATAAATTTAATTTGAACATAAACGTACATAAAGCATGAACGATTATATGTACATGATTTTATGATTTATGATTATTAGCATAAGTTAATCATCTCAGGCTTATATGTATGATACGTCATTACGATAAAATTTATAACACTTCTAATATTAAGTTCTAAGAGCCTGAGTATGTACGTTATTTCAACATTTTTGGAGCCTCATTACGTCGTTACAGTCCATGCCGTCACGTCCGGTTATGCTCTATTTGAAGAAAGTGTGTTTTAACAATAGCCTTGCAGCGTAGTTTAGATTACAAAAGCCTCTCCCTGCTATCTTTCAATGATCCATCTAATGAACAAGGAAAGGCAATAGTTTCCCAACATCCGTTTCAACAGCCTGATCATACAGAAATCTATAGGTGCTGCGTCCTGCGACTTAACTGGTATGTCTTCATATGCAATAATATAAGAACCCGTTTTATTGTCCAGCTACTTCAGGAAAGTATGACTGGAAGACTTATTTTAGTGAATCCATATGCTGTTGCCCTTGTTTCCAGATGGAGATCTTTCTTGATTATGTTGCCTACTATTGCCTGGGACACGTGGATGATTTTTGCCACTGACTTTTGCATTCGTAGTTTGTCATCTATTACAAGAGGCCGTAATTTGCTTACCACAGCTGTGGTACGACTTATTGCGACTTCCTGGATTTTTTATGTTCCTCAAGTTGACCCATATTCCTTTGTCTTCGAATGTCATTAAGTAGAAGGGATATCACCGTCTTGCACATTCCATATTCTCCATATGAACATACTTTTATCATCCGAGTGTTTGAATATTTTGCATCGGATAGGGCTGTGTTGCACAGCCTTCCCAAAAGTGAAAATGTTCAGTTACATCACGTAACGCCAAACAATGTTGAAATGTAGTTGTGCTAAATGCCGTTCCACTGCGACTTTATAGTGGCTGTGGTTGTTACGTAACTTGCTGATATAACGTCATCAATCTTGTGTAAGTAGATGAAATACAGGCTTTGTGTAAGACAAGAAGAGGTCTTTGTTGATTACAACTTCATTTTGCTATAGTACTTTGCCAACAGGGTATCGTTTATTACCAGTATACTTCAGGTCGACTTGTTTACAACAGTTAAAACTGGAACCCTACTAGACATAATCATTAAAAAAATGTGTAGTATTCCATGATCTACCAGTCTGCAGCGAAGTGTGATGTTCTTATGAAAAAAAAAAAGCTTTTTACCGCAATAGATTCGAGACAAGGTTTCACATAAAAGAAAAGAAAAGAAGCAGTAAATACTCTTGTTACGTATTATAATTTCGAATGGATTGAAATTGATTAGAAGAAACATACCTAATTAATCTTTCATCTTACCTGCCCCCAGTGTCACAGCGGTATGTCTGCGGATTTACAATTCTAGAAACCGGGTGAAGATCCATCCACACCCAGCGAAGTAGTGACATGGACATACAACAGACAGTACCATTATATTTATATAGATGTGTCTACACTTACAACGACAGTCAGTATTATGAACATTGTATCGTATGTATTGCCGAAAAACAATGAGGCACTTTTATCATCGCATATTTCGAATACTTCCTTCATCTTACGTTGAATTTGAAATCATTTTTGTTATTCCTACCTCTTTAATTAGATAAGAATAGCCTCAGAGTTAGTCTTGGGTGCCGTTGAATAGCTGCTTTCTATCTAGTCTATCGATTTAAAATATGGAGCGACTATGCGTAGGTAATCATTGTGTAACTTTACGTGAAATTATTTAGCAAAAAACCTATTGAAAATTAGTTTTTATCTCCATTTTCATGTAAATCCCTGAAACTCTTCTATTTTGTGCACATATTTACGCCTTTTAGAGTCTTGACAATTAATAACACTCATAAAATTAATTATGATTAATTCTTAAATACACGCAACTCCAATATGCACGTTTCGTTTGATAGTAAAATAAATAATCGAAGCCATTTTCCTACTAAAGTTCAAACAGTTGGAAAATACTAGATGTACTTTCGCAGGGTCCCCGAAAATGTTCTGTTTCAAGAATATATAAAAACAAAATTAAGAGTAATAAATATTTTTATTTCGTCCTTTTATAGGCGGGAGTTTCGCAATACATATCTAACACTATAAGCTATGCATGTTTTAAAATATAAACTTAATCTAAAGAATTTTGATATTAAAGTAAACACATAACAACAAATTCGTTACAGTGTATTTACCATCAAATCTAAATAAGAGATAATATCTAATGGACATTATGAAGATTACATGGTGACTTTAATTGGATTCTTCCATTGTCACGCTCTTAGTTAACATTTTCAGTAATATTAGTTTAAGCTGCCAAACTTTTCGGATTATCTTAGAATAAAAAATACAGATTAATCGCAGTTTTGTATTTTAAATCAATTAATAAATTTACTGTTTTGATTATATATATACGACTGACATTGTTTTGTTGTAAATAAGAAAGTACATAGTTACCTATAAATCTTTACTAAAGCAATGTAAATTTTATTTGTTCCAGAGCGTGTCTGTGTCAGTCTCTGTCCTAACCCTTACTTTCATTTCATTGGACCGGTGGTATGCCATCTGTTATCCTCTTCGCTTTAAAAGTACCACAGCACGTGCTAAAACAGTGATTCTTCTTATCTGGCTCGGTTCCTTTCTTCTGATGCTCCCTGACGCCATTGTTCTGGACATACGACCCAATCCTAATTTACACGTGGACACGCACTATCTGATGGATTGCACGTACACGTGGGATGAAGCTTACACATGTATCTATCAATTGTGCATCGTTTCCATGCTTTACGTAGCTCCAGTTTTGTTGATGACCGTGACTTATTTTCAGATTGCTCGAGTACTCTGGGTCAAGGACGTTCCAGGTTCTACAGACAACCATCCAGCAAATCTTTCATGTAGGAACTTTGCTCTTTAGCATTTATATTATAGTTTTGCTCAATATAAAGAATAGTGATTTTTTTTGCTAAAACTAAGGAACTTAGTAAAGTTATGAAACATCTAGAAGAACTAGAGATAATTCAAAGTTGGACCTGCATCAACCTAATAATAAAATACGAACTTGATTAAGAACTATTACCATACCTATTATTCACTTTTAATGAGTAGTGAAAGAATGGTTTGATGTAATTTAGATTAATTTATAACATGATTTTAATTTACTCAATAGCCAATACATTAAACACACAAATCTGTAAAAGATGATAAAACTAGTTTTGACACAATAACTTTTTACAACTACTAATATTTTAAGTCTTAAGCTGTAGTGACGAAAATTACCGCTTTAAATTCCGATAGGTTTTGTTTGTTATAGCTGAAACGAGTTATATGCGCTCTGTCCACCCCAGAGAATCGAACCTCTGATTTTAGCGTTTTAAGCCTCTAAACTTTCTGCTGACACACAAGGACTCTATAGATATTACAGATTCTAATACAATTCTTCCAACACATGATGCTTACTGTATGCACTGATTTACTTATACTTATAAACACGTTTATAAATTTATGACAGTCGCTTAATGAAGAAATGAAGTTAGAAAAGTCGTCATATTTGAACACTGATTATAGTTAAAATAGTAAAAGTTAATTGAAGTTAACAGTAGATAACCTCAAACTGATACTTAGTAAAACCTTAATACTTATCTCATAGTGCTGCAAATGTTTCAAATTAAAACAAGGGGGAATACTCAATAGCTGCGGCACTTGAAATTCTTTTATGCAGGATTAGAGTAAATTAATTTATGAGATCTTTGTTTTCCTTTTCATTAGCTATATTTTTGTGGGCCAGAAATAACAAAAGTGGGGCGTGCATATACCCGATTCGATTTTATTACTCATCAGGATATCTACCAGCTTACCCTCAAATTAAGATTATTTTAGGCAGGATTAGAATAATTAACCTATGAGACCTTAGGCGTGGTCAAATATATCAATCGAAAGGGTGGGACTTCCTGACTCGAAAACTGTAACTAGATCTCAAATTGAAGCTATGAGCTAAAAGTTTGTACTTGAAAAAACAAAAGACTCAGAGCCGTTCTATGAGCCGCCAATCAGCGGCTAATAACAATTGTCGTCCGCGGCATAGCGGCTTATAGAACGGATCTGAGATGTTTTTCTTTTTTTTTAGGGTAGGCTGGTAGAGATCCTGATATAAAATCGAATCTGGTGTTACGACAGCGGAAGTCACGTGACCCTGGTAACACGTCATGAGTTTCTAGAAGGATCATGACTGTTCTTGGCAACTCTAGTGTTTGCCAGACGCCCTCTATGAGCCCGGCAAATAAAGCGGAGATAATTGCAGATAGCAGATTGACGAGAGATATAGAGACATATAATTTAGTCAAATGAGCGGTAGTGACCATAAATAAAGTGCGTGAATCGTTGTGAATTATAGCGTGTGTTTAAGTTAAA